CAATTTAAATACTTTTATTCAAACCTGTAATTTTTGCAACTGATATGAATTCAACACTTAGTTGTAGATAAAAGTTATTCTTGGAAAGATTTGGGTTCTTATGTAGTGATTTGTGTATGATTTTGTGTATTTATCCATACCTAGTTTATGTATGATTAGCATTTCAATCCCTAGATCATATTTAATTTTTTTGCAATTTTTTTTATTACTTGTTTCCCTTCTTCTTCTGTTTAAACAGTTCATTGAAGTAGGTTGATAAGTGTTTTATTTTTATAATTCAGTGGTAATTCTATTGTTAATATCATGTCAGTTTTGTCAGTTTCTTCAATGCACTTGAAGAATGACCCTACTATACCCTGCAGTTGGCAGATCTTTTCTGATTTATGTAGAAAGAAATATATTTTTTTGAATGTAGTTTTTAATGCTGATTTCAGAAATATAAATTAAAATTCAGGGAAATTAAAAGAAATATTTTTCTATTTTATTAGGTTAGGTCAGTTTATGCGAGGTTAGATCAAATTAGACTAATTAATAAATAATTACATGTTTATTTGAATAAAAAATAAATTTAATTTAAAAACATTTGTTTTAATCAAAATATTTTCCCATTCTTTCCCCTTTAAAAATCAATTCTCAAAATTTTAATTTATATTTCTGAAATCAGCAGCAAATTGAAAGTACATGGAATGTGGTTAAGAGACGTAACAAGCAACATTACACAACCAATCGTAGCATGATTGACTCGTATCTCTGCGAGTTCATTTGGCATTGTAGGCATGAAAATTATGACCTCTTCAAGCAAATATTTCTGAATTTTCACATTGAATTTGTTACATTGACACTAGATACCTTGTACTGTCTTGATGTCTTGCAATTCTTTTAAATACATAGGTATATGTATAATGCTAAAAGTACTTCCTTTGTTTTGTAAGCAAAATAATATAATATTAAAAATATTTCTTTTCATTTCTCCAAATTTTAATTTATATTTTTGAAATCAGCATTAATAATTCCAAAAATGTATATTTGTTTCTATTTGAACGTGGTGCATGAAACATAAAATATCCCAGTTGGCTACAATAGATTATTAATCAGCACTGATCATAATCTTGACTTCTTGGGACTTAATGTTGAGGAACTTATAGTATGGAAAAAACATATGAAAAATGTATAACTGTATTATCCCTATATCCATGTTTTCTTTCTTTTTGGCACTGCCATCCCTACCTCATTTTACATCGATAAAATGATTTTTATTACTTGTTTTGTGATTTTTTTCCAGCTGACTGAAAGCTAGTGTATTCCATGAATGTGTGTAATATAATTTAATATTATGTGTATTGATTTTTTTTTACTTCATCACTTCATATATAATATAGGGGTTGGCTCCCTAAAGACATCAATTACATAAAGTACAAAGCATTGAGTTTTCTACATGTTACAGTCATCTAATGTTCGTCTGTTATTGGCTGGTAATTCCTGATTCTCCCTGTACTTCAGGTTTTTAAAGGAACTCCAGATTTCTGTAAGAAAGCTAACTTCAAGGGGTAATGATAACATTGTGTACACTAGAATTATGATTTTTTAGCTTATACTAAGCACTGCTATGTTTAGTGTAAGCCTATTCCTAAGTGCTCTTAAAATGCTTTTCTGTTGTACTAAAACCATGGAGAAAACTTCACACATTTGTTTGGCTAGTGTGGGAAAAGAAAAAAGAAAGATGAACACTTTGGCTCTTTATCTAGTTCTCAGTTCTCCACTTCAGCAACACTTTTCAATGATACTGGGAGTCTCACAAGTTGTGAAATGATAATGGCAATTAGTTGGTCAAATAAGGCTATAACTCAACTTTAGCAGTTATTTGTAAGCATCGTAGAATGATAGATTGAATGCGGCAACCATGTTTTCCTTGGCCCATCCCTACATACTAAGCACCACCATGCTTAGTGATACTTGGTAAAGTTAACTTTATGTATTTCAATCTCCACCCTGGAAATTGGACCTAGGGGGATGAATGACATGAAAATATTCCTTTTGGCACTGCAGTAAAATCTTTGGATCAGTACAGATTGTGCACATCTATTCTGCAAACCTGGCCATCAGTTTACAGGTGCTGAAGAGGGGAGTAGATTATTTCCTGAAAAGTAAAGGGTTGGTTTAAACTTTGTTTTCAAAAGGATGGGTGTGCAAGAACAGTCTTGAAGTACTGAATGTTTCAATGATGTTCAAGGGATATATTATGTAGGTACGATGAGATAATATTTTTTAAGCAATTGCTAACTTCTCAAATGGACAAAGTAAGATACAAAAAGATATGTGTATGTGTAGGTCACTCAAGTTTTAACTTCGTGAGAAATAATATAAAAGCAAGTACTAGTATTTAGCAATTTGTTTAAAATTTTTCACAATTTTATCTCGAAGTAAGTGTATGAATCTTATATGCTAAATCATTCTACGTCCACTCAACCAATACTGCATTATGTTCTAGCTTCAACAGATCAGATTCATTTCAGATTTAACAGGTTTCTGTACATGAACAAACACAGAATATTTCAGGATAATGTATGAAATCTTAAAGTTACATCTTCCCAAATGTGCATGTATATGGGGGGGGGGGGTAGAATTTTTTAAAATGTCTGAAACATATGCCCTATATATATAGTAGGCAGTTATTTTCAGATGGAGTATTGTCTCTATCTTGCTGAACTTTTCACCATTAACTGATGTAATGCAAATGTAACTGAATAAATAAATTCCACATGTACCATACTACATTGGGTTATCATAATTTGGATTATACCTTTAAATGTATGTGACCTTATAATATTTTATCTCCTATTTTACCATATGCTCAAAATCACAGCTAAATTTGGGTAGTTTCTATGTTTGTCCATGTTTGAAGGCCTATATCTTCTTGAGTTTTAAAATTATATTCTTGCTTTATGCTTTTCCTATAATATCTTTTCATAAAAGTTTTCTTTATTTGAAATCTGATTAATCCTAGGTAACTAACTCATTTAATTGATAAAATTGATTACCTGTAAGTATCAGTATAGGGTAAAATAATTGATTAATCAAAATTATGATTAAATTGATTAATGTCAAAAAATAATCAACTATTCAAAATAAATGTTTCCAATCATTACTGGTTTCAATTTAAAATAATTATAAAATTGCACTTAATTGTACAACTTTAATACGAGTTAAGCTGATAACTCAAATGCATATAGCATATGTTGGCCTATATTTCAGTAAGTTATGTATAATTTGATTTAAACTTGGAAAGATTAATTTCTATAAGCACCTGTAGCATATACAAGTACTTGGTTACGAAAAAGTAACTTACTGATCATGATGTCATAGTCAAGATAACCAAGTGGTGTGCAATGATTAAAAAAATTAGTATATATATATAGAAACAATTTGTATGAGTAATGAATATATTTACTATATTTCACCACAGATTAGATAAGTTTGAAACTGTGTTATCAAACTAGCACTTCAGTGAAAATTGTATTTCATATAGACGTTTTTCTTCTTATAATTGCAAAGTTGCAATTCATTGAAAATTGTATTTTATGTATGAATTTGTATTTTTTATGATTTTCAGCATTTTTTTGTTGTTATATTAGAAATTTATGGCATTGAAACTATACTTTTATGTTCACAAGACTATTTATGTAGGGTCTGATCTAAAGAACATTTATCTTGATGAGTTAATGAAATGGGTCTGACACAACCTGTATGTGTAGTCAAACAAAAGATGTATGATATACCTTTGTATATGTTCATTCAGTCTACAATAGAACTTCATTCAGACTAGTTTGAAAGTAAGTTTAAATTGGTGGTTTTTCAGAAAACAAAATGAAAATGTTAAAGTTCATGAGAACTTCATTTGGTACAACTTTTTGTATTTATTTCTGTGTAATATATTATAAATATAAAAATATATTTTTTGTAACAGTGAGAAACATGCTACAAAATATATGTAGATAATAAATTGAGAAAACTTTAAAAATAATGAAGATAAATAAGTGTTATTAATAAAATGTTATTCTGATTGGATTACTGTTAGATTAGAATACTTGTGTCTCAATTACAATCTTTTATTTTTTGCAATTTGATATCAGACAGTTAATTATATGTAAGTATTAGTCTGATATCATACAATTAATTTTCTGTAAATATTAGTATAAATTTTGTTTTATGTAGATGTTTTGAGTTAAGAATACATGATGTTATGAGCTTAATGATCAAAAGTATTTATCATTAAGCTGTTAAAATTTACGTTAAGTAAAGCTTAGTTTGAGAACCTATATATTTGTTATTTTCAGAAGTTTCATTATTCTCTTTTTTTTTCTTTGGAAAAGGCAGTGAGTTTTTGTAAACAGTAGTGTTCAGTATTACAGCTGGGTGATTAACTTGAGTAACTGATATTATCAATTACCTATGAGCATCAATTAGTGTCAAAAATTGAAATTAGCATTTCCAAGTTTTGATTATTCCAACTATCCAAGTTATGGAAATATTGTCATTATGTTTTCTTATTATAATTTTCATTTTATTCACGGTTGTACAGCACAGTCAATTAGTGTCACAACTCACAAAAATAATCAACTGATTGAAGTTTGTGTTTCCGATTATTAATATTTTCAGTTATTTCAACTGTCCAAGTCTTGTGTGAGAATAAATTATTAGCTGAATGTAATTGAATGAGCCAAGTTATTATTCGATTATCAAATTCCAGGAAATACCCAGCTCTATTCAGTATGTCAACCTTCTAAGTACTACATTGCAATTAAAATGCAATGGCTATTATCTTCTTATTTTATTACAGAATGTCAAATAACTTAACTTATGCTGTCTATCTTTGGCAGATAATGAGAGTTTCAGGAAACTGTATATATTTTATAGATTAACATCTGGCATGTATTTTGTTCATTGATATCTGGTTTTTTTATTCAACTGATTTTTTTTTTTAAATCATTTAATTTTGATAGGAGACCAAGACCTTTCCTCCTCAAGACAAACACTCTATGATAGTGTTGTTCTTTGGATAATTTTTACGACAATCTTGGAATGGGGATTTGTATATGTAAAGAACAATCAATTTCCCACTCAGAGTCCCGAAATGAAAGAAGACATCGTCATAGGGGCCAATCTTCAATTAGTTCAATTTCTGAAGCAGTGGATAGAGGAGATAATTTGTTTCCTGAAGTTCCTGAAATCAACTGGGATCCTTTAGCAGGTTTTGGGGAACTGTCACCTGTAGTGGACAAGCTAGTACTGGAAACACTTGCTGTGATGAGAATACTAGTAGACAAGTAAGTTGTTATATTCATCAAATTTGAAACCAAGCACATTTATATGTTTAGAAAATAATTTTTGATTTTTGGTAGAAATAATATCCTTTATGAAGTGCATTTTTGAATGTTTCTAAAAATATTAAAGTTTCTAGTTTATGTAATTGTTACAAAGTTCCTTAAATTGGTTATTACTTGACAAAGAAATGACTGTGAAAGAGCAACGCATGAATATCACCATCATTTTAAGGTAATTTATTGGCCCGTTCTGTAGTTAAATAAAATATTAATTACAGATAATATTTATATACATAGTTCTTGAGTTTTAGGTGCTTAGTTTCACCAAGTACTGTATTTCCTAAAACAAAGACTCGTAGCATAAATAAGGAATAGTTTTCTATCAAACAACCTGCTGATATCTTTATTTTCAAATCACAGAGGCATTTTTTTTTTCACATTTTTGACTTGGTCTTTACCACTAAGTTTTAAGGTTTGAATGTGGCTCTTGCCACCTGTAATTCTAAATCACAAGTTGAAGTAGCATAAATGAAAAATTGGTATATCAGATGCTACTTGGATGGACTTTTTGTTCAAACTGCTTTTATACTGCCCATTTTCTACTTGAAAGTAGACTGCCCATATCTTCAAAAATAATGAAAAATAAAAACAACTGGTGGTATAGTTGTATGTATAATTTACCCTCAATTGTTGTTTTGAACCTTAGCCCTTATTCCAAAACACACTTACCTTTTCTTCCACTTTACCTTTATTGTGATGAAAGGTTCTCTTCTTTGCCTAAACATTGGTATGAATTCTACCTTGCTTGCTCCAGTCTTTATACCCCAATATATTGCCCCTAGTAATTTTAATCTTGTGGCTCACTCCACCTACTTCAATGTGCCCTCTATACTCAGTCAGTATATAAGCTCCCCATATTCTTATTCACTTTTTCTCGATGTCAAAAATTCTGAAGACAGTCTTATATGTTTACTGCAGGTTTCTCTTCAGCGCCATTACTCATTTGCAGTGTTTTCTTTTGAATTATTTTGGGTCTTTTTCGTGGGCTTGAGTTTATTGTTTATATTTTCTTGATGTTAGGAAAACCAAAAAAGAAAAATTTATTTTTGGATACTGATTCCCCTCCTCTACCGCCTCATGAGCCAGGTGTTGGGGGGGGGGTCTTCCATGGAGAACATACAGTTTCTTATATGCAGAGAGGTAGAGTCTTACTTGCAGTCTTTTTACAACTAGTACACCAATTTTGACTTATTATTAGCTTTTAGGCCATATAATTTGGAGTGAAATATGCAACTGTAAGTTAGGCCCTCTGGTTAATTTCTACTTAATAAACAAGTTTTGAATCCATTTAATCTAATCTTTCTTTTTTCTGTACAATTCTGATTTAGATATTTTTTGACACATCTAGGATGGTTACATCTAAAATCAACATAAGTGTGGGAATTTGTCAGTTTATAAAAAATATCAGTTTCTAAATATTGTCTCTTCAATTATACACCAACATAAGTAATAATCTGCCGTGCAACCCTGGATGAACAAAAGTTAGATTATTAAATGGCCAGATTCAGACACTTTAACCCATGATGTCCTGAGTCTAACTGCACATTCACTACTACAGCCAGTTATGGAAAGGTAGTTGCCCAGTAATAAGTTTAAAGAAAGAATAAACATCCTAACCACAAGTAAAGCTAAAGATTTCAGAATAGAAATAGCAAATAATTACAATATAAGATACTAAAAGTAAGTAGAAATAAAATAAAATGAAAAATAATAAGGATTATGAATGTCAACAATACATAATCAAAACCAGAATCAAGAATATATATAATTTATTTTATTGAAGAAAAAAAACTTTGATGAAAGAAATATTTTCTCCAAGACCATTAGGGGGAAAAAGTCCAAGGTTAAAAATAAGATGCTTTTCTTTATGTACATGCATGTAATGGTCTGTAGTAGCAAATATTAATACTACAAGATGGATAGGTGTGGTTCTTGTCATTAATTGTCACGATAAAGGTTCATTAGTGTTGTCACATTAATTACATTGGTGAGACTGTAAATATGGTGGTACAAGGTACAGATTACTGAAAGATAGTTTAATTGAAAATTGACCATTAAGACCAATTCCCAATGTGTGGTTGTCACTGTTGGCACAGAATCTAAGTACATTGTATGTTTAGATAGACCATTCCATATATCAATTGCATTCTGGCTGAAAAACTCTTGTATGTTTGTAATCTTAATTTTTTCTTTTGAATTTTATTCATATGACCTTGTCAATCTTTTTTAGTTTCAAAAGTTATTCGTAACTTATATCCATTTTTCCTGTTGTTTGTATGTTTCAATTAAATCATTCTTTTTCTCTCAAACTTGGTAACCTAAGTATTTTCTGTATAATATTGTATTCCTTTTTTTTCTCTTGCCATCTACTAGTTTAGTAGCTCTTTTTTTTTAACCTTTTTCAATAATTTGTTATCTATTTCATAAAAGGATGGCTATGCCTGCATTACTTATTCCATAGAAGTCCTAGGCTCTTAGTTACGCTATATTGATGCCTACCCTGACATGAGCATGATATTATGATAAAAAAAACTGCATATCAACAGTCAGGTATATATAACTTCCAACTGCAGTAATATTAAAGTCAAGTATGCATTTTACAATGTGACATTAAACTTTATTATTGAAAGTCATGTAGGGATGATTTATGTATAGCTGTATCATTCCTATAGTCTTGTTTGCATTCTTTTTGGCACTGCCATCCCTACATCATTTTAAAATTACAAAATGTTTTTTGTTTCTTGTTTTGTGGTATTTTTTCCTCTGACTGAAAGTTAATGTATTCTGTGAATGTGTGTAATAAATTTAACATTATGTGCATTGATTTGTTTTTAACCCTTCTCTTCATACATACATAATGTAGGCATTGGCTCCTTAACTTTTTCTAGCATGGGCGTCGGTCCC